GGTACAATCTTGACTCACTGCAACCTCCACCCCCCTGGCTCAAGCGATCCTCCTGCTTCAGCCTCTTGGCCTGATTACTGTGTAATATAATATTTCATTGTTTGACTACACCACACTTTGTATACTCTACTACTGATAGACATTTGGCTTGTTTACAGTTTGGGGCTTTTATGAATACTTCTGCTAGGAACATTCTTACAGGTGCCTTTTGGTATACATCTCACCGTATCCGTTTCTGTTGGACATGTTCCTAGGTGTGAGACTGATGGATTTTAGAGAAGGCATATGTTCAGCTTTAGTGATACTATCAAACAGTTTTCTGTAGTGGTTTTACCAGTTTACACTCTCACGAGTAATGAGCGAAAGTTTCAGCTGTGCCATGTTCTCATCTGCACTTGATATAACTCATTGTATTTTGATTTCTGCCCTTATTGCTCTGCTGAAACTGCTCTTACCAAGATAAATCTGACATTTTTTATCCTCATGTTACTTGTCCGTTTTGCAGTATTGATAATCTTAATTACTCCCTCATTGAAACTTCCTATTCCTTTAGATACTGTGATACCAGCCTTTCCTGTCTTTCTCCTACCACTGTAGTCTCTTCTCCTCAATTTACTTCTCAGCTCTTTGTTCTCTCTCTATCACTTAAATGCAAAGGTTCCCCAAGTGTTCCCCTTTATTTTCACTCTAATACATACTCCTTGGGTGATTTTTAAATCTTCTTTAATGGGTTCATCTACCACCTACATGAGGAAGGTGTCCAAATGTATATCTGGCCCAAATTTCTTTTCTGAGTGCCAGACCTGCTTATACAGCTTTCTATTGAAATGTTCTACTTGGATTTCCAAAGATACTTTAAACATATACCTATTTAAATTATTCTACAATTTATTCATTCAACTGTTTGATGTACATGTAGGTTGTTTCTTGTTGTTGCTATTTTTTCTCCTTTATAACATTTGTTCATTTTCCTTTATTTCCTGTTTTAGTGAATAGTGCCACATCCACCCAGTTGCCCAAGCCAGCAACTTGAGAATTACTCTTTACGACTATACCTTACCAACCCTCATCATGAGCCCACCCTTCCCCTACATCCCATTTACTTAGTCACAAATCCTAATAGCTTTAACTCCTAATTTTTTTTCCTCTGTCCCATAGACTTTATCCCATGAGACCCTTTTGATTATCAATATCAGTACCATTTATTGAATACTGGCTGTGCGCTTTTAGTATACATCAAATAATTTAACCCACAATAACTCTGTGAGGATGATAGTTTTTTTTTTTTTTTTTGAGACGGAGTCTCGCTGCGTCGCCCAGGCTGGAGTGCAGTGGCCGGATCTCAGCTCACTGCAAGCTCCGCCTCCCGGGTTCACGCCATTCTCCTGCCTCAGCCTCCCGCGTAGCTGGGACTACAGGCGCTCGCCACCACGCCCGGCTAATTTTTTGTATTTTTTAGTAGAGATGGGGTTTCACTGGGTTAGCCAGGATGGTCTCGATCTCCTGACCTCATGATCTGCCCGTCTCGGCCTCCCAAAGTGCTGGGATTACAGGCTTGAGCCACCGCGCCCGGCGGATGATAGTTTTATCCCAATTTTACATATGAGAAAATTGAGGCTCAGAAACACTGTCTTATATAAGGTTACACAGCTGCTAAATGGTAGAGAGGGTGAGGCAGGATTGGAATTCAAGACTGTGTGACTTCAAAGCCTGTACCCTTAACCATTATCCCCTGCTGGACCACAGTTATCACTCTGAACAACAGCGTCTTTTTTGGTCTCCCGGGCTACAATCATGCTTTCTCTAATTGATGTCACTCCTTTATTTTAAATCCTTCTATGACTCCTGCTTGCTAAGAACTTGATAAAGTCTAAGTTCTTAGCATGGAATAATATCCCTCCATGTCTGGTCCTTACTGTTCTTTTCAGTTTTACCTCTCTCCTCTTTGCCTCTATGCTCCAGCTATGCTGAACCACATGCAACAACTCAGGTGTATTGCAGTCACTTTTATACTTTTGTGCCTTTCTAATTACTTCCTTTTCTTCTTTGCCTGGCTAACTCATTTGTCCTTCAAGACTCCATTTAGATCCCCCAGACATTCTATTAAGAAACATTTCCTAACTGACTCTTAAACCATTTTGGTGCACGTCCTCTGTGCTCTCAGAATACCCTGTGCTCTAGCATAGCACTAGCACATATTTTTATCATTGTAATTATCACACCTTGAACAAACTGATTGTTCTCTTTTTGCCTCCTGATTAGAATGACAGCTCCCTGAGGACCAGTGCTAGTTTTTAATCTTTCTTTGTTTCTTTTTTTTTTTTTGTAACCACAGTGCCTAGCACATGGAAGCATTCCTCAAATATTTGTTGGCTAACTAAAATGCTAGGAATTCAACAATGTAAATTGAGCATAAAAGTACCTGTTCTTGTACGCATGATTTTTATTATCTCCAGAAGATTTTGTTTTTTATTTTGATTTGGAGGTGTAGATAATTGAAGCAATAACAATTTATTCTACATAGTAGCTTATACCCTGCAGTCTTTATATGACTGACACAAAACTGGATTTGCCTTCCCTATGTCGAGTTAGTAGAAATTCTAGCACAGACTCAGAATGGCTCGTAGAATCCCTGGAAGGAACTTGGCAGCTTCAGCTTACCTAGGGAGATTCTCTTAAAATAATGGAAAACATGGAGTCCTCTATGGTAGAAATATCTACTCCAAAGTGGTAAAAAGTGGTAGTAGTTCTGGATTGCGTGGTGTAAACCAAGGTTCTCAGAGGTTTCATGAAACTCAGTTGATGCTTTTAAAGTCTTCCTTTGCCTTTGAAAATACAGCAACTTTTTTTAAACTTTCTTTAGTCTAAATGAAAGACTAAGGAGAAAACACCCAGGTCACCCCTTTCTGACAGGGCTTAAACAAGTATGTGCTTATTTTTATACTTTAGAACAATTTAATACTATGTAGCATTTATTTATGTATATTAATTTTCTGGTTTAATTGTGGTGGGAGTGTAAAAGAAAACTAGTCCTCTTACGTTTATTGTCTGTTGTAATGATTATATAATAGTCAAAGTAGTATATAATCAATTTAAATATGTGATGTTCAAGCCCATTCCTTCAATAGGGCAAATGGTATGGTCACCATATGCTCTGCCCTTGTTGGTAGAGGGTGAGGAGGGGGACACCTTACTCCTTTTTTCTAAATACCACTATCTCTGGGTGCGGGGGCTGACACCTGTAATCTCAGCACTTTGGGAGGCTGAGGTGGGCAGATCACTTGAGATCAGGAGTTTGAGACCAGCCTGGCCAACATGGTGAAACCCCATCTCTACTAAACATACAAAAAAATAAGCCAGCCATGATGGTGGTCGCCTGTAATCCCAGCTACTCGGGAGGCTGAGGCAGGAGAATTGCTTGAACCCGGGAGGTGGAGGTTGCAGAGAACCAAGATTGCATCACTAAACTCCGACCTGGGCCACAGAGCGAGATCCTATCTAAATAAATAAATAAAATGCCACTAAAGTTCAATTTTAAATCTTTGGACAAGGGAAGAGGAGGGATTAGGAGGAGGCAAGAAAGGGGCTCCTGAGGTGCTAGTAATGTTATAATTCTTGTATGTTCACATTGATATTTTATTGATCTTTATACTTACATTTTATGTACTTTTTGATATGTATCTTATATTCCACTAACATGTTTTAAACATTTCTAGAAATTTAGAAATTTCTGTCTTTAAACATTTCTCAAAGGGATCTATGAACAATGTTAATGGTGAGGTTCTTTTCCAGTGCCCTTATTTTGCATGGTCCACCATGGGTTGAGGAGCCCTAGCCTAGTGGTGTGCTGATTCTAAGTGGAGTGGGAGAACAGTGAAGGACAACACTGGCGTGGGCAAGAGTAGTTCGGGAAAACAAAATATTTATTCATTCAGTAAACTGGGCACAAGCCATGTACTGAATACTGTGCTGATACAGAAAACTTTGGCCAGGCACAGTGGCTCATGCCTATAATCCCAGCACTTCGGGAGGCCGAGCCGGCCGGATCACCTGAGGTCAGGAGTTGGAGACCAGCCTGACCAACATGGTGAAACCCCATCTCTACTTAAAATACAAAAATTATCTGGGCATGGTGGCACGCACCTGTAATCCCAGCTACTCGGGAGGTGGAGGCAGGAGAATCACTTGAACCAGGGAGGCGGAGGTTGCAGTGGGCTGAGATCGAGATTGTACCATTGCACTCCAGCCTGGGTGACAAGAGTGAAACTCTGACTCAAAAAAAAAGAAAAAAAAAAGAGTTTGAGACCAGCCTGGCCAACATGTTTGGCAAAACCCCATCTCTAGTAAAAATACAAAAATTAGCCAGGTGTGGTGGCAAGGGCCTGTAATCCCAGCTACATGGGAGGCTGAGTCAGGAGAATTGCTTGAATCCGCGAGGCGGAGGTTGTAGTGAGCTGAGATTGTGCCAGTGCACTCTAGCTAGGGCGACAGAGCAAGACTCCTTCTCAAAAAAAGAAAAGAAAAAACTTGAAGGTGACCAAAGGTCAGGGTTGGAGAAGAAAATAAAATGTGGATGCTGTCAATTGATTCTGGTTGTAGCTATCTACTAGTCTTTATAGAATAATATAAATAACCAAAGCTTACTTAGCTTTTGCTGTTTACTAATGTATTTACATGTATTAACTCATTGTATCTTCACAGTAACACTATGAAGTAGGCAGTACTACCAATATCTCATTTTATAGATGAGGAAACTGAGGTACAGATTTCCTAAAGTCACTCAGCCAGGAAGTAGTGGAGCTAATATTCAGCCCAAATGTCGGGGTCCCTTTTTGTCTGCTCAAAATCACTATGCTTTGTGAAATTAGTGCAAAGACTATCAAAGGAAATACAGGTTGATCTGGAGGCACTATTTGAAGATAGTCAGTGATCCAGCTTCCAGTACCCTGTTGTTTATGTGTTTTGGAGCTCTGTGTGAATGCCTTTTCTCCTTTTTACAGACGTGGCTGGATTCCGCCAAAGAAATAAAAAAGCAGGTTCGTGGTAAGTGGATATAGCTCTTTTTATAGTTCTTTCTTTCTTTTAGTAGGTCAGAGGATTTCCAGCCATTTCTGGCTGTGAGTCAGTCACTTTAGAATCCTGACTACTGCAGATTGCTTTGAAATTGAGATAAAGCCTTCTCCTGGAAGGAGGAGATTCCATAATAGAAAAATATAGCAGAGGTGGATACTGTTGAGATGTAGGTCAGATTTTGTTGATTTTTTTTTACAACTGGGCAAAGTTGGGGAAGATAGGAAGAGTTGAGAGTAACAGAAGGTGGAAAAGAACAAAGATGAGAAAAGAAAAAGGATATGGGAGTCAGTTCTCAAAGTGGTAGTGACTGAAACTGCAGTTGCCTTCTAGGAGTTTGCTGCCATGTCCTATTCCTTTTAAATTGTTCTGAACTATTGCATTATAAATTTTATGTTTTCCTCTTTATGGTTGTTTTCATCCCTTTTAACAGTCCTCTTCTAAACTGTAGTATAAAGGACTGTGGAAGAAAAAAAGAATGGAAGGACAAGAATTGCTTGCCACTGACCCTTCTGACATATTGGCTTTGCTCCTACCTCTAACTCTAATGTATAGTCCCGCTTTACACCCTGATCCGCCTGGTGTCCTGGGATAAATATTTCTGGATTGAAAAAAGTATAGATTAGTATTTTGCAGTCCCAGGCCCAATGGCTAATTAAAACTGCCTGTCCTTTTAGTTTAGTTTTGAAGAAACTTCCAGGAAGTGCAATAGTTATTTATCATGATTAGTAAGTTTTAACACTCACCTGAAAACAAACTTTGCTTTTCATTTGTTTCTTAGAAGAAAACACTTTTGTTATGGTGAAATGTTTTTCTTTAGACCTTGTTTGTAATTGTTTAGTTTTCTTAAGTGAAGAAACAAAATACTCTTTTGGACTGATAACTCTATATTTGCTTTCCACCTATAAAAAGCTTGTTTTAAAATGCAAGTCAGAGCAAACAAATATTCAGAATATTTGAGACACCACAAGAAAAATGTAACTCCTTGCTCCTTTCAATGAAAATACTTTTAATATGAAATATTAGGAACATATGATTATACAAGAAGATTCTTTAGGAGAAAAAGTTAACAGAGTTTATGATGAGTAAAAAAGAATATCTAGTGGATTATCTTCCTGGGTATTTAAAAAAAAAAAATCTTGCTAAGAAAAGGAACCTTAATATTTTTCAGTTAAAAAAAAATTACACCATCCTGGCCAACATGGTGAAACCCTGTCTCTACTAAAAATACAAAAATTAGCTGGATATGGTGGCACATGGGAGACTGAGGCAGGAGAGTTGCTTGAACCAGGGAGTCGGAGGCTGCAGTGAGCCGAGATCGTGCCACTGTACTCCAGCCTGGAGACTCCATCTCAAAAAAAAAAAATTACGGAATAATAAAAACACTTTCTTCAACATGGGGGAAAAAAACCCCAAAAAACAATAACAAAAAAACACCATGTCCCTTACAAAAACTTTAATAGAGAATCAAATTGTAAACATTTTTTTAAGACAAAGGGAAGAATGACATTTATTGCAAAGGTGGGGGTTTAAGTTTTTTTTTGTTTGTTTTGTTTCTGTTTTTTGTTTGTTTGTTTTGAGACGGAGTTTTGCTCTTGTTGCCCAGGCTGGAGTACAGTGGTGTGATTTCGGCTCACTGCAACCTCCACCTCCCAGGTTCAAACGATTCTTCTGCCTCAGCCTCCCAAGTAGCTGGGATTACAGGCATGTGCCACCATGCCTGGCTAATTTTGTATTATTTTTAGTAGAGACAGGGTTTTGCCATGTTGGCCAGGATGGTTTGGAACCCCTGACCTCAGGTGATCCACCCCCCTTGGCCTCCCAAAGTGCTGGGATTACAGGCGTGAGCCACCATGCCCAGCCCTTAAGTTTTTTTTTTTTTTTTAAATCACGCAGGTAATATATACCCATTGTAAGAAATTTAAACATTATAGGAAATTATCATGAAGAATGTAAGAGTCCTCTAAATCCTGTCCTCTGGATACAATCACTGTTAAACTGATATAATCTGCAATATTTTTTTTCTAGGCACATATAAATTTTGCATTTTAAAAACACAAGTATATGGCCGGTTGCGGTAGCTCACGCCTATAATCCCAGCACTTTGGGGGCCAAAGCAGGCGGATCACCTGAGGTCAGGAGTTCAAGAGCAGCTTGGCCAACATGGTGAAACCCCATGTCTACTTAAAATGCAAAAATTAGCTGAGTGTGGTGGCAGGCGCCTGTAATCCCAGCTACTTGGGAGGCTGAGGCAGGAGAATGGCATGAACCTGGGACGCGGAGCTTGCAGTGAGCCAAGATCGCGCCACTGCACTCCAGCCTGGGCGACCAAGCGAATTTGTCTCAAAAAAAAGAAAAAAAAAATTGTTATAGATACTCAACAATAAATTTTTTTCCGTATTTCAAAAAATACAGAGAATAGAAGAATGACATTTATCTATTGCAGAATTAACATTTTTTATTAAAAATAGAAAGTACAGGTAAGATTTGTCTGTTTTCCTCTCAGTCCCATCTCCTTCTCTCCCTATCCATAGAAATCTATTGTTATGAATTTGAGGTGATACCTTTCAATCCATTATATATATATATATTTTTTCATATATCCATACTTACATACCTGTAGTATCGCTTTGTCTATTTTTTTTTTTAATCTCCCTCAGACCCAGCCTTACCCGTTTGGACCTTTTTCTGAGGTTTGTCAATCTCTTCTTCCTCCTAGCTTAATTTTTAGCTTGGATTATTCTCTTGGTTCTGGATAAGAAAGATCACCCTTCCTGGATGGGCGTGGTGGCTCATGCCTGTAATCCCAGCACTTTGGGAGGCCAAGAAGGGTGGATCACGAGGTCAGGAGTTTGAGACCAGCCTGGCCAACATAGTGAAACCCCGTCTCTACTAAAAATACAAAAAATTAACCGGGCGTGGTGGCACATGCCTGTAATCCTAGCTACTCAGGAGGCTGAGGCAGGAGAATCACTTGAACCCGGGAGGCGGAGGTTGCAGTGAGCCAAGATGATGCCATTGCACTCCAGCCCGAGAGACAGTGCAAGACTCCATCTCAAAAAAAAAAAAAAGAAAGATCACTCTTCCTGTCTGGAATAGTACAGAGCGAAAACAAGAAATCCGTATACCTTCTATATATATTGTAAGTTACTGATACATAATTTCTACAAATTATGTCTTAAAATATAACCCATGTCTTTTCCTTCCTTCTCTTCTTTCCCTGCAGAGGTCACCACTGTCCAGAATTTTGTGTTAATGATTCCTTTGAATTTTTCGAAATGCTTTTTATTATCTATGAATGTATATCTAAAAATATGTTTTGTTTTATCTTTTTGAACATTGTATAAATTAAATTATGTAACAGGTAATCATGTGCATTTTCCTTTCCTTACTCAGAGTAATTTTTGTAATTCCTCCCTGTTGAAAAAGAAAATTTGCCGGGCGCAGTGGCTCACACCTGTAATCCCAGCACTTTGGGAAGCCAAGGCGGGCGGATCACCTGAGGTCGGGAGTTTGAGACCAGCCTGACCAATATGGTGAAACCCCGTCTCTACCAAAAATACAAAATTAGCAAGGTGTGGTGGCATGCGCCTGTAATCCCAGCTACTGGGGTGGCTGAGGGAGGAGAACTGCTTGAATCTGAGAGGTGGAGGTTGCAGTGAGCTGAGATCACACCATTGCACTCCAGCCTGGGCAACAAGAGCAAGACTCCATTTCAAAAAAAGAAAAAAAGAAAAGAAAAAGAAAATTTAACAAGCAATTTTTTTTTTTTTTTTGGAGACAAAGCCTGGCTCTGTTGCCCCGGCTGGAGTGCCGTGGCGTGATCATGGCTCACTGCAACCTCTACCTCCCAGGCTCAAACCGTCCTCCCACCTAAGCCTCTTGAGTAGTTGGGAATACAGGCACGTGCCACCAGGCCTAGCTTTTTTTTTTTTTTTTTTTTTTTTTTGTAGATACTGGGTTTCACCATATTGCCCAGGCTGGTCTCCAACTCATGAGCTCAAGCGATCCACCTGCCTCAGCCTCCCAAAATGCTGGGATTACAAGCGTGAGCCACTGCACCTAGCCAATAATTCTTAATTTTTACTGTGAACGATATGAGTGACATCCTTATTTCTTCTTTTGCATTCCATTTCATGTTTTGAATGCTGACCTTTTTCCCCACTAAACTGATTTCACAACAGATCATGATCCACAGTGTAAAAAATACTGATTTAGGAAATGTGCTTGGAAGAAACAATTGCTAGATTATAGGTTATGTTTATTTTCATCTTTACAATAAGATATTGCCAAATTGTTCTCTTTTAAATTGTTTGTGACAGTTTATACATCCCCACCAATATTATGTAGGAGTTCTTGATTTCCTGTGTCCTTAGAAGGCAGCAATTTTTTTTTTTTGAGACAGAGCCTTGCTCTGATGCCAGGCTGGAGTGCAGTGGCATGATCTCGGCTCACCGCAAACTCCACCTCCCAGGTTCAAGTGATTCTCCTGCCTCAGCATCTTGAGTAGCTGGGAATACAGTCATGCGCCACCATGCCCAGCTAATTTTTGTATTTTTTAGTAGAGACAGGGTTTCACCATGTTGGCCAGGATGGTCTTGATCTCTTGACCTCATGATCCACCCACCTCGGCCTCTCAAAATGCTGGGATTACAGGCATGAGCCACCGTGCCCAGCCGGCAGTTTTTTTCAGTTACTAATTTTAAAACATTTTTTGACATAATTTCAGACTTTCAAAAGTGTTGAAAGAATGGTATAGAGTTTGTGGGGCCAGGTGCAGTGGCTCATGCCTGTAATCCCAGCATTTTGGGAGGCCGAGGCAGGCAGATCGCCTGAGGTCAGGAGTTCGAGACCGGCCTGACCAACATGGAGAAACCCCATCTCTACTAAAAATACAAAATTAGCTGGGCATGGTGGCGCATGCCTATAATCCCAGTTCCTCAGGAGGCTGAGACAGAAGAATCTCTTGAACCCGAGAGATGGAGGTTGTGGTAAGCCAAGATTACGGCACTGCACTCCAGCCTGGGCGACAAGAGCGAAACTCCGTCTCAAAAAAAAAGAAAAAGAAAAAGAGAAATGTTTGAATAATTTGAAGTACTTCCAATAATTAGAAACTTAGGTATAAACATAAAATTATTTTGTGTTTATTTTTATAGGTGTCCCTTGGAATTTTACATTTAATGTAAAGTTTTATCCACCTGACCCAGCACAGTTAACAGAAGACATAACAAGGTAAATAAGTAATAGTTAAACATGTAATTTTTCATATAGTAATGTATATGATGAGATAGTAATTCTTACCACCATAAGCTCTGCTAATTCCCTATTCAGAACGGAAGAAAAATAATGATATTAAGCAGCGTAAGATTGAAAGTTTCTGGTCACTTCAAGGCAGGCATGCAAATAAGTGAACCTAAAAGCCTTAAGTATCTGTGACCTGTATCACAAATATCAGCAAATTGGCAGGGGAACTGGCCTTGCTTATTTATCATGGATATGCCGAGCTGTGGACAGGGCTCCTACCAGCACCCTCCAAAGGGCAAGACACAAATGTCATGGTAAAATGGCTCTACTGTTTTTTTTTTTTTGTTTATTTTTTGGGGTCTCTTTTCATACTCCTTTCCCACCATGTTCCTTCTTTTTGTTGTTGTTTTTTGTTTTTTGAGATGGAGTCTCACTCTTCTCTCCCAGTCTGGAGTGCAATGGCGCGATTCTGGCTCACTGCAACCTCAGCCTCCTGGGTTCGAGCGATTCTTTTACCTCAGCCTCCCGAGTAGCTGGGATTACAGACATGCGCCACCATGCCCTGCTAATTTATTTTTTATTTTTTGTATTTTTTGTATTTTTAGTAGAGGCGGGTTCTCACCATGTTGGCCAGGCTGGTCTCAAACTCCTAACCTCAGGTGATCCGCCCACCTCGGCCTCCCAAAGTGCTGGTATTACAGGCTTGAGCCACCACACCCTTCTTATAGGTATCAAAAAAACTGAAAGTCTGAGTGTTATTATTTCTTCCTATCTCCCTTTTAAAATGTTTGATGAAGTACTTGATGCCCTGAACTGAATCTTCCTTGGAGCCCACCTAATTTATGAAATCTTGTACTCTTTAAAAACAGCCTACTGGCTGGGCGTGGTGGCTCAAGCCTGTAATCCCAGCACTTTGGGAGGCCGAGACGAGTGGATCACGAGGTCAGGAGATCGAGACCATCCTGGCTAACATGGTGAAACCCCATCTCTACTAAAAAGACAAAAAACTAGCCGGGCGAGGTGGCGGGCGCCTGTAGTCCCAGCTACTTGGGAGGCTGAGGCAGGAGAATGGCGTAAACCCGGGAGGCGGAGCTTGCAGTGAGCTGAGATCCGGCCACTGCACTCCAGCCTGGGTGACAGAGCCAGACTCCGTCTCAAAAAAAAAAAAAAAAACACAGCCTACTGATGTCTTAAGAAAATGGCTTTTATTGGATTCTATAAAAATATTAACTAAAAAGGAAAAATAGAAAATCAATATATTATAAAGTACTACTGTGCATATTTATATTCATGACGTCTTGCGTAGGGTCTTATCCATAGTAGATGCTTGGCAAATGTCTGTTAAATTAAACTGTTGGTTGTTGAGTAACTGCTTTCTATTTCTGATTTTGCTGCCAACTGTCTGATTCCAGGCAGATTTAGTCTTTAGGCCTAGATAGTTTCCATACTCTCAAATAAGAGAATAGACTAACCTCTTTAAAAATCTGATTATTAAGTTCTATACAAAGTCAATACCATTTTTTTCTTATTATTTGTCGTCTAGTCATCCTCAGTACATTCTTGAAGTTGAGATGCCAGATCTCTGCCTTAAAAAATTCCTTTGGTTATTTCTTTTTCACAATAGTATTTGTCTTTTGGAGTTGCTACTTAATCGTCTTTCTTCATCTAGGCTTATGTATAAAACAAAACACATTTCTAAAAATCTTTCCTAATTATTTACATTTTAGAGGAGTTTTAAAATTTTTGTGCCTTGTTTGGCATTGTTCTGACATTTAAAAAAACATGTATGTTGTGACTAATTAGAGCAAAATGTTACTTACTATCTTATAATAGAAGCAAAGATATGATTCTAATTAATTTAGGAATTGTCAATTTAATAATACTTTCCTGTTTGGTAAAACAGTCTGAATTGGTCAACTCAGTCAATTAGAACACGTGGTAAGGAAGTCAGGGCCATAGGTGGCGAACGTTACACTGACAGAGAGAAAAGTGTCTGAACGTGGTAAGGCACTCAGTTGGTTTGTTGGACTGAACTGTTTTAACTGCGAACTGTGCAGTTCCCAACAGTGTAGCACACAGATGGAATTAGTCTTACAAGGTGGCTAATAGTATGTAGAAGGCTGCATGCGACTTAACTTATCTTGGAGAGAAGATACACCAGAATGTTTATATCCTAGTGAAAATATGTCAGTAATGTCATCTTTATATATGAAGGACTATGTCTGCACACTTGGCATAGCAATGTGACAGAAAAGAAAGGGCCTGGTTTTGGAGCCAGTCTTTATTACTACCTGACACTGAGCACGCTAAGCTTCTGAGCTGCTTCCTCATCTATAATCTGGCAATGATACCCACCTCACAAGTTGTGTGTGTGTGTGTGTGTGTGTGTGTGTGAGATTAGGTGAGATAATTTATGTATATGTGGTACTTAGTATACTTAAAAAAATATATTAGTTTCATTACTTCCTTTAGACTTCCCCAGCTTTTCCTCTTTCTAAACATGTGTCCAATATAGTTACAGTATTTTTTTAAGTTTTAATATGGAAAAATTTCAAACACACAGAAAGAGAAAAATAATAGTGCAATGAACTACCATATACCCACTACCTAGATCGAACAGTTATTAATATTATCTCATATTTACTTAATCGCTTTCTTTTCTTCTGTCTCCTTATTTTTTCTCTCTCTCCCTTTCTCTTTCTCCTCTTTTCTCCTTTTTCTTTCTCTATATTTTGTTGTTGTTGTTGCTGACATAACATTTTTTCTCTTTTGCTGTAGATATTATTTATGTCTTCAGCTTCGGCAGGACATAGTTGCAGGACGGCTGCCCTGTTCCTTTGCAACCTTAGCATTATTAGGTTCTTACACCATCCAGTCTGAACTGGGAGACTATGACCCAGAACTCCATGGCGTGGATTATGTCAGTGATTTTAAACTGGCTCCAAATCAGACCAAGGAACTTGAAGAGAAGGTCATGGAACTGCATAAGTCATACAGGTGAGTATGTCTACAGGGTTTGTTTGGTGTTTGTTTTGGCAATGAGTTTAAACACTTAACATGGTATTGGTTCAGTGTTTGCCTAAGAGGGAGCATGGTGCCACAGAAAGAGTCCGTGTGAACTCAGTTTCCTCCACTGTTTGACTTTGGGCAGGTTACTTAACCTCTCTTAATCTAAACTTTCAGATTTCTCATCAGATTAATGGTCATTGCGTTGTAGGATGAAAACTAAATGAAGTAATATATGTAAAGCACTTAGCACAGTGGCTGGTTCAGTGCTCAGCAAATGGCAGCTATTATTATTTTTGTTTCCTTATCTTTTATTTTTTATCAGATTTAAAGCTCATTATGCTGCATTAGGTACCTTGAGATCCTTAGAGCAGGGGTTTTTAATTTGAGATTTTTATACACGGATAGATTTCAGAGGGCCCATGAAACTCTTGGAAGTATTTTTAAAAGTCTTTATTCACCGACTATACTGCTTTTATACATGAAAATGATTGGCAGTGTTGGGCGTTATCAAGTGATCAAGAGCAAGAGTTTACAGTCAGTCTGAGCTGGGTTGAAATCTTGACCTTGGTTCCAACCTTGTGAGCTTAGGTCTTTCAATTATAACTTCTCTGAGCCTCAGGTTTCTTATATTTCTGATGGAGATTATCACCTCAGAGAAAATAGGGGGATTGCTAGGTTTAGAAAAGGTATTGTGGGCTGGGCGTGATGGCTCACACCTGAAATCCTAGCACTTTAGGAGGCCGAAGCAGGAGGATCACTTGAACCCAAGTGTTTGAGACCAGCTGGGCAACATAGCAAGACCTCATCTCTACAAATAATTTAAAAATTAGCCAGGCATGATGGTGCACACCTGTGGCAAGTAGCTGAGGTGGAAGGATAGCCTGGGAGGTCAAGGCTGCAGTGAGCTGACATCACACCATTGAAAGGTAATGTGTGTAAAATACTGAATACAATGTCACGATGTCTTTCACATGGTAAAAAATTCAGTAAATATTAGCTAATATTAAAGTGCCAGAATAATTTGTGTTTCTTCCTACACATACATTCATTGTTACTTGAGTGACTTGCTATAGCTTAGTTCTATAAACTGCCTTAGCATATTAATGTGAAAGTCTGACCTTGGCCTTGAGTTAGTACCCTGAGTTATGTTAGCATGAGTTAGGTTACAAAGCTTCAAAGGATCACACTGCTCAAAGAGAAATCCAAAGAGTGGTGTCGGTAGGCTTGCCATGGTAGTAAAAAATATTCTTTCCAGCCTTTGAGCCATTTTGTTCTCCTAAATAGGATTGCATGGATTGGGATGCTTCAAATGAGAGAGTTGTAACTTAAGGTGTCCCAATTCTAGGTGTGTTATTGCCTCTGTAGGTTCAGGTTCCTCAGTCATGAGGACCATACTAAGGACTTTAAAGTCTGCAACCCACATAGCAGGAGTCTTATAAGAGTTACCCATCTCTCTCAGGGTCACACTATTTCCAAAGAGAACTGCACGTTTGCTTTTTAAGTTTGGACTTATTCCAGTACCAATGTCTGTAATCACTAAATACACCACTTTCAACTTGTTGATGATTATAACTTAAGCATGTTACATTGTCTTTGAATACATTTTTATTGTTTTTATTTTTCATTTTTATTTTTATTTTTGAGACGGAATCTCAGTCTGTTGGCAAGGCTGGAGTGCGGTGGCACGATCTTGGCTCACTGCAACCTCCACCTCCCGGGTTCAAGCAGTTCTCTGCCTCAGCCTCCGAGTAGCTGGGATTACAGGTGCCCACCATCACTCCTGGCTAATTTTTTGTGTTTTTAGTAGAGATGGGGTTTCACCATCTTGGCCAGGCGGGTCTTGAACTCTTGACCTCGTGATCCACCTGCCTCGGCCTCCCGAAGTGCTAGAATTACAGCACTTTTATTTATATTCTGGTTATGATTCTCAACATTTATATATATAAAGATATATGGATATATAAAAAATCTATGCGTATATACATAGAAAAGCAAGTACTGGAAAGAAAATAATTAGAATGTCAATACTGTGGGGAAGTATTTTTATTATCTAATAATTTAAAAATATTTTTTATTAATTATAATATAACTTTGGGCATCAGTAAAATAGTAAAAGAAAATATTTACTGCTGCCATAGAGCTGAAGCGCAGAAAATGATGATGTCAGATTATGATTGAGACTTGAAATCTGTCTCTGATTTTTTTTTTTAAAGAGATAGAGTCTCACTCTCGCCTAGAGTGGAGTGCAGTGGTGTGATCATAGCTCACTGCGGCTTTCAGTTTCCTAGGCTCAAGTGATCATCTCACCTCAGCCTTCTGAGTAGCTAGGACTATAGGTGTGTGCTAACATGTCCAGCTAATTTTTAAATTTTTTTATAGAGCTGGTAGTCTCACCATGTGGTCCAGGCTGGTCTCAAACTCCCAGCCTCAAGACTTCCAAGGTGCTAGGACTACAGACATGAGCCTCTGCGCCCGGCCTAATGAGTCTTTTAATGGTTATCTGATCATAATAGAATCTCAGGTTTGAGAGGACTTATAGTCTCTCATCTAATGCTTGATTCTTCTTTATAAAATTGTTACATAATCATCATAATAAGTAGCCAGTTATTGTGCATCTATTCTTACGTGCCAGATACTATGATAAGCGCTTTATGTACAGCATCACGTTTAATCTTTATAACCACCCTTTGAGTTAGGACAACGGTTCTCAAAGGGTGGTCTATAGACCCTGGAGATCTTCAAGATTCTTTCAAGGGGTCCATGAGGTCAAAATTATTTTTGTAATAATGCTAAGATGTTATTTGCCTTCCTCACTGTGTTGAAGTGGGTGGGGCACAAATCAAGGCAGTTGCGGCAAACTGTACCAATAGTCATTATATTGTTCTCCAGCATGCACTTGCAGTTAAAAGAAAGCCAGCTTACCTTAGAATTTTCCTAATGAAGCAGCAAAAAGTATGAATTTTATTAAGTCTTGAATACATTTCTATTTAATATTCTGTGTGATTAGATAGGAAGTACACACAAAGCATTTCTGCTGCATACTGAAGCACGACAGTTGTCTCAAGGAAAAGCACTTATGCAATTGAGTTGTGAGCTGAATTGGCCATCTTTTTTTTTTTTTTTTTTTTTTCTTTTTTGAGATGGAGTCTCACTCTGTAGCCTAGGCTGGAGTGCAGTGGCCGGATCTCAGCTCACTACAAGCTCTGCCTCCCGGGTTCACGCCATTCTCCTGCCTCAGCCTCCCACGTAGCTGGGACTACAAGCACCCATCACCATGCCCGGCTAATTTTTTGTATGTTTAGTAGAGATGGGGTTTCACCATGTTAGCCAGGATGGTCTTGATCTCCTGACCTTGTGATCCGCCTGCCTCGGCCTCCCAAAGTGCTGGGATTACAGGCGTGAGCCACCACTCCCGGTGGCCATCTTTTCTGTGAAACACCATGTTTTCTTGAAAAAATGACAAACTATGATTATTCGGACTTGGTTATTTGATATACATATTCTCAAAAATGAAATGAGCTACTACTTTTAGGAAAGCAACTGACAGTATTTGTTGCTAATGACAAAATTGAAGCATTCCGGTAAAAATTACAATTTTGGAAAACTTTTATATATCCCCATGATCTTGACAGCTTTTAAAGACTTTTCTGCTAAGGTCGGTGGTAATTTTAATGAATGTGATTTTTTTATACACATATTGTATCAAGGTTTGGAAGATTTTCCTAACTTGGTGAACAAGTATTTTTCAGATTAGAAATGCACAATGTTAAATCATGCACAGGTAAAAGATTCAAAATGCAAGATAGACCAATGGATTTTAATGTAACAGTACAAAGAGTTCATTGATAAATTTCTACATTTCACATTGAAAATTATCTTTAAGAAACTGCCGTTGATAAGTTTTAGTGTAATACCAGAAAAGAATATTTTAGGCCAGGCCTAGTGGCTCATGCCTGTAATCCCAGCACTTTGGGAGGCTGAGGCAGGCGGATCACAAGGTCTGGAGTTCGAGACCAGCCTGGCCAATATGACAAAACCCCGTCTCTACTGAAAATACAAAAATTAGCTGGGCATGGTGGCGAGCACCTGTAATCCCAGCTACTTGGGAGGCTGAGGCAGGGGAATCACTTTAACCTGGGAGGCGATGGTTGCAGTGAGCTGAGATCGTGCCATTGCACTCTAGCCTGAGTGACAAGAGCAAGAGTCTGTCTCAAAAAAAAAAAGAATATTTTAAATTCATAGTCACCCCTTTTCCAACTACATGTCTGTGTGAGATCAGATTTCTTCACATACTGCCAAATCAATATATTGCAACAGATTGAATGCAGAAGCAATTGGGAGAATTCAGCTGTCTTCTATGCCAGACATTGAAGAGATTTGTGAGTATGTAAAGCAAAGTTACCTTTTCATTACTTTTTCAGAAAATATTGGTATTTTTCAGAAATTATGTTATTTATGTTAAAAAAATAATGGGATTACTGTTATTTTATTTTATTTTGAGATGGAGTTTCACTCTTTTTGCCCAGGCTGGAGTGCAATGGTGTGATCTCGACTCACTGCAATCTCCGCCTCCTGGGTTCAAATGATTCTCGTGCCTCAGCCTCCCGAGTAGCTGGGATTACAAGTGCCTGCCACCACGCTTGGCTAATTTTTGTATTTTTAGCAGAGACAGGGTTTCACCATGTTGGCCAGGCTGGTCCTCAACTCCTGACCTCAAGTGATCTGCCTGCCTTGGCCTACCAAAGTGCTGGTATTACAGAGGTGAGCCACCGTGCTTGGCTAGATAACTGTTACTTTTTAGAAATTTAATAAGCATTTTAAATTTTCCTTAGTTAAAACAATTTTAATATAGTGAATACTAATAGCTATAAGCCACATAAAGAAAAGCTCTTGGCCAGGTGCAGTGGCTCATGTCTGTAATCCCAACACTTTGGGAAGCCAAGGCGGCCAGATCACCTGAGGTCGGGAATTCAAGACCAGCCTGACCA